AGGAACAACCACCCAGTTACTCTGACGATGGAACCGAGAGAGTGTCCGAAACATCAGTCCCAAAATAAATCGGTCCATGTCCTCGTACCTTCTTCTTCCTTTTCTTTGGGTGATTTTGAAAACGATATGATATCTGGACCTCGAATCTTCACGCATATTGTCTATAACTTCTATATTCTTCACATCGCCTGCTACATTTAGTTCGCAATCGAAAAAGCATTTCAGAATTTTGGTAAAAATTGCATGAGGTAGCGCACTTACTGTATGTCATCAAGTCGCTGTTACTGGGTGTGTTCATGCAGGTCGTAGATATTTGAGGTAGTTTTGATGGAGATCGATGATAATCTCGTCCAGCCTGATCACCCGATTAAAAAGCACTGCCACTGGCTGCATGACAATTCTTAAAATGCTATACGCTGTCCGAGTTGATTAACTTAACGACTATTCGTGGATGAACACTCTCTTTCCCAAGAGAAAAATCACAGTTGGCCACATATATTGTTCTATCAGCTTATAACTTGTGTCAGTTAGTACAATAAACGGCCCTGCTGAGAAGTGTTTATTTATTGAAATTCAAAATTAAAATCGGTTCAATCAGTAGATTGCTACAAAGCTCGACATCTTTTCTACCATGGAACATCTTGGGTACCCGAAGGCTAATAATAACTTATGACTGCCAATAGACGATAGTTTTTAATGAAATATACGGTTACTTTTAACTAGATGTCGTTTTACAAATTCGTGCATAGTTGCTCACCAATCGGTGACGGGATCCACTCCTTTCGTGTTCACTGTCGAGCCCCGTCAGCGACCGCTCAGCGGCTAGTAGTATAGGCAGGAGAGCAGTACCGGCAAAGACCAGGGAAACTGAAATTGCCATTTCAGGCTCAGTAGTCGTCATCATCCAGCCAAACCCGACCCCACCCGAGGATCGAACCCGCGACCAGTTGATTAGAACTCTAACGCTTTAATCATTGAGCCACGGGTTCGTGATCTTGTCGGTTTTTAGCTCGAAGAGGTTCTTTCACACACAAAAAACAATGCGAACTAATTTGCACTGCCAATAAATAACCGATCAATGGCCACCTTTAGTTAGCTACCGAGGACATACACGATAAGTTAGAAAAAGAGTGTTAGATAAGTTTTAAATGCCAAAGGGAATGCAGGTGTGCGTACATCCCGTATTTCCGCAGCTGGGGAAATAGTGATTCACTGACCAGCTTCCATAGACTGTGCCGAAATCAACGGGCAGTAAGGCCCGAAAATCGGTTAAAAATCACCTCTGAGAGGTAGTCTATCCCATTCGAAATCATCCTCTGTATACGCCACCACCCCGCAATAGGATGGCAGATTATTGGGCATTCTCGTTGGCACCATGATTGCGCACAGCAGCAGTGCTTCACTAGAGATGGGATAACATTGTACTGCAAGAAATCGTATTACTCGGCAGTCAATAGGGAAGGTGGCTGGTAAAAAATGAGCATGCCTGCCCACACGCTCTCTACTACGGCAGTGGCCTTCTCAAGAGTAGAGATCTCGTTTTCAGGTTCTGTGATGACCTGTCACTGATGTTAATGAAAGCTAATGCCTGATATGACCAGCACACGGAGCGGTGTGAAGGCCATTCAAAGACCTTCATTAAGTGCATAAAAGTGTTACTATATGGACAGAATACCCATGTGAGTTTACAGTACTGATAATTTACAACACAATCTCTGGTACGTACATACTTTCCGTGTGACAAGGTAATTATGAATAATTCGAATAATGCAATACTACCTATGTTTCTATGTTGCTGTATGTTTGCGTGTGAGGAAAAAGAGGGGTACTTTGATGGTGGAAGTGAAGTTTTACCACGAACAGGTATAGGGCAAAAGGCGGCTTCGGACCGCCTTACAAAGGCATGGTTTTTATAACGACTCATTCAATTGTTTTTTTCTTTGCCGAAGGATATTTTTTTTAATGCCGCCAGCCTGTAACCTTGAACTCAGATACTAAGTGAATAATATTAATCGAATGAACCGTTTGGAGCCTTACAATATTTTCGCACATCATATTAAATTTTTCAGAAACGCAAATCCTCTCTGACGGACTTTCAGAAGTTATGCTCCTTTGTTTGGGACAAGCTTGGGTTTCAGTAGAAAATCCTAATTAATGTAAGGCAAAAAATTAGTTAACCTAGCATCCTAT